TGTATGTTTTCTGATGCAGTCAGCAACTCGATTATTTTACATTAATTTCTAAGCTTTGTAATGGTTCTAAGTCAGTGACAAATGAAAGGGTGAAGTCTGAGTTGTGAGCTTGGGATTTGGAAAGAAGCCAGAGCCAGCAATGTGGGCCGTTCCCTTCTGCTGCTATATTTTAGCTTTCTCCGGTGACGGAGGTCGAAGTGCTATTTTGGAAGAGGGAACCACAGAGCCAGTGGCAGTGAGTCAGGGACTAGGGTTTTGTAATATTAATAAATGTTATTCAGAAAGAAGACTCCTTAACAGCAGTTAAGACCTGAGCAGGGGTGAGGAACACATAGCTTCCCTTAGTAAAATCTAGAACCTCTGAGGTCGGCCTTGGGAAAAGATCTACATGGGGGGATCCAGCTGTCTCAACTCCACAGTCCCCCACCCTGTGCCTCAGTTTACCTTTTCTTTGAGAGAGTCTCACCTGTGTCCAGGCTTACACTGCACACACACGCTCCGTCGCACACACACATATGGACACACACACACACACACACACACACACACACACACACACATTCTTACCACCAGGACTTCTCTTTAATGCTCTGGTGTGAAAACAGACAAAACCCTTTCCCTCACATCTATAAAATATTTGAGAATAACAAAAACTTTAAAACCATCTCAACGATAAGAGTGGTATATACCTATTATATAAAAAAAAAAATGAAATGAAGAAGAATGTGAGAAAGGAAATAACTCCCAGGGCCTGCCCCAATTCTCACGTGTCCCAAAGGACTAGTATGACTTTGGCGACCTCTTGCCTGTGTGTCTTCCTTGCTCTTTCCTGATTCATCTCCGTGCTGCCGTGTACCTTATTGGGCTCGAATGCATGGGACATACAGGGTCCCAGATTCCTACCTGCAGCACACCCAAGGCCCAGTCTGGTCCAACTCACTCTGTGAGATTTGATTCTCACTGCCCCTCAAGGTTGGTATTATTTCCATTGTACAGACAAGGAGCTTGAGGCTCAGGGAGGTAAAACCATTGGCAGTTGCTACTTGCACAAAATCCCTAATATGTGGCAGATGACTGACTAATTATGTGACATGAAAGTCCACTATGCAAATGGTCTGACGGGGCATATATCCCAGAACCAGGCCAGATGACCTTTAACTGCGAAGCTTCTGTAACTTACGGTCATGTGCATTATTAATGTCCTAGATAGCTTTTTTAACGTTTGTTTATTTTTCAGAGAGAGAGAGACAGAGAGAGAGAGAGAGCATGTGCCTGTGCAAACAGAGGAGGGGCAGACAGCGAGGGGGACAGAGGATCTGAATTGGCCCCGTGTTGAGAGCAAAGAGCCCGATGCAGGGCTTGAACCCATGAACCATGAGATGATGACCTGAGCCAAAGGGAGACGCTTAACTGACTGAACCACCCAGGTGCCCCTTTGTACTAGATGGTTTAACTGAACCTGAAGGAATGGGCACAGAAGCATTGGTTTTGATGGGAAAGGAGGAAGTTCTAAACCTGGGGATGCTGCCAGGGAGTCCTCATCATGACCCCAAGTGCAGAGCGTGGGCCGCGTGATGTCATTGGGGTGATAGCAAATAAATAAATGTGCGTTTGAAAAGGCCCTGCAGGAAATAAGCCACAATCTGAGCAGTGACCATATGCAGGTGACGGAGCCATAAGTGATTGTTAATTTTTATTTATCCTTTTTATATTTTCCCAAAGTTTATTTCTTTTTCAAAAATTTTTTAATGTTTATTTATTTTTTGGAGAGAGAGAGACAGACCACTAGTGGGGGAAGGGCAGAGAAAGAGGGAGGCACAGAATCCAAAGCAGGTTCCAGGTTCTGAGCTGTCAGCACAGAACCTGATGCGGGGCTTGAACCCATGAACCGTGAGATCATGACCTGAGCCAAAGTCGGATGCTCAACCGACTGAGCCACCCAGGCGCCCCACCCAAAGTTTATTTCTGATAATGGGCATGCATTACTTTTACAGTCTGAAAACCTGTGAAGTATTAGCTTATAACATAAGTGTTAGCTCATGTCATGTTGTAAAAACATATCCCTATCAAGTTAAAAACCTATGTGTTTCAAAGGACACTCTCAGGAAAGTGAAAAGACAACTCAGAGAATGGGAGAAAATATTTACCAATCATCTGTCTGATAAAGAACTACTATTACTTATTAGATATAAGCAAAGACCACTTGCAACTCAACAATAAAATGAGGGACCCCTGGGTGGCTCAGTAGGTTAAGCGTCAGACTTCAGGTCATGATCTCTCAGCTTGTGAGTCTGAGCCCCGCATCGGGCTGTGTGCTGACAGCTCGGAGCCTGGAGCCTGCTCCGGATTCTGGGTCTCCCTCTCGGCCCTTCCCCCATGCTCTCTCTCTTTTTTTTCTCTCTCAAAACAATAAATAAACATTAAAAAAAAAAAACCATAAAAAGATACATAACCCAATGTAAAAATGGGCAAAGGATTTGAGTTGACATTTCTCCAGGGCAGATATGCAGATGGCCAATAAGGATATGAAAAGAAAGATGCTCCACATCATTAGTCATTTGGGAAATGCAAATTAAAACCAATCCACCCCCATTAGAATATATATATATATATATATATATATATATATATATATATAATAAAAATAACAACTATGGGCAAGGGTTTGGAGACATTAGAACTCTTATAATGGGAATGTAAATAGTACAGCCACTTGGGAAAAGTTTGTTAGTTCCTGGAAAAGTTAATCATAGAGTTACCAAATAGCTAAGAAGTTTCCCTCCTCTCCTCGATCACAGGGCAGCATAGAGCCAAAAGGTGGAAACAATCCAAAATGTCCATCAAATGGCAAATGGATAAATAAGGTGTGGGCCTATCCATACGATGGAATATCATTCAGCTATAAAAAGGAATAAAGTTTTTTTTAATGTTTATTTATTTTTGAGAGAGAGGAGAGAAAGAGCATGAACAGGGGAGGGGCAGAGAGAGGAGACACAGAATCCAAAGCAGGCTCCAGGCTCCGAGCTGTCAGCACAGATCCCGACACGGGGCTCAAACTCATGAACCATGAGATCATGACCTGAGCTGAAGTCAGATGACCAACCGACTGAGCCACCCAGGCACCCCGAAAAGGAATAAAGTATTGATAAAAACTGTAGCATGAATGAACTCTGCAAATATTAGGTAAACTTTAGGAAGCCACACACAAAGGTTACATATTGTATGTTTCTATTTATATCCAGAAATACCCAGAATAGGCAAATTCACAGAGCCAGAAAGTAGAGTAGTGATTGATTGGGGATCAGTGTCAGGGACACTGAGGAGTGACTGCCCAGTGTGGGGGTTCTTATTGGAATAATCAAAGTGTTCTGGAATTAGTGGCAATGGTTGCTTAACTTTGAATATGTTCAAATCACCATATTGTAAACTTTAACTTTTATGGTATGTTGGTTGCATCGCAACGGGTAAATGACTAAAAATGAAGTGAAATTTCAAATAGACACCCACCAAAAAGATTCAGAACCTGCCATCCTTTTGATCGATTCGGTTTGACAACGTTTGAGGGTTTATGAAAGAGGTATTTACAGACTAAACGTAATGAAGGGAAAACAAAGGGTAGAGAGCGCCCTGTGTATGCAGCGCCCCCACTTGTCCCCCTGGTGACGAGGATTCTTTTCATAGAATTATGGACGTTAGGCAGAGAGAGGGTGGAGAAGATCTACTGAACCCATTCACCCCATTCTACAGGTGAAGAAACTGAGGCCCAGAAGAAGGAAAGGCCACCTGATGAGCTGCAGGGGCGCTGATGAGATTTAATTGGCAGGGCCATCACTGTCAGGAATTAGCAGGTGCGCTGTGCCCGAACACATAGAGAGGCGCTGATTTCACAGCTTCTTCGCCCCAGAGGCCCGCATTTCGTCTTTTGAGGTTTGATGATTTCTCACTTTTACCCACTTAGAAAAATACCCGTGACAAGTGTAGGGCTCCGCTGGGTGTATGCTCTGCTGAGGAGCTCAGGGGGGAGGGCCCTACCCCCGTTAAAAGCCCTGACTGGGGAGCTGGCATTAATGCCTGTGTGTGTGTGCATGTGTGTTTTGTGTTAGTAACACTTGGTTTCCTTAAAGTTGGTTGGCCCTCCAGTCCTGTTTGTTCAAACCATTTTCATTTCAAAGACTGGAGTCACGGTCTCTCAATCGCCACTCGTCCGTCTCTCTCGCACCCACTGCGACGGCTCTGAAATGAGCGTCTGACTTCTTGGTGGGCCCTCAGCCCCCGAGGCAGGCACTGCGCCTTCTCTGGAGTCCTCCGAACACACGCGCGCTTCTGGACACGCGTGTTTCTTTTCCACCGAGGACTCTGCCCCGCAGTCGAGCCGGGGCGAACGCACGGAGGACGCAGGGCCGGTCGTGGGCACGGCGGCGGGAGGTTCCTGGTCGCCCCGGGGACTCACGCACCTGCGGGAAGCGAGAGCCCCGCACGCTCACCTGGGGCCAGAAAACAAGCCGCAGGCGCCCGAGCAAGGTCTGGGCGGAGGGGTGGGAGGTGTTAGCCGGGGTCCCTCCCCGTCGGGGACGGTAGGTGGGAACCGACTCAAGTTTCACTGCGGGTGGAACCTTCGCGGCCTCGGGGAGAAGAGCAAACCGCCGGGGGCGGCAGGTGCGTGCCGGGCGGCTGGAGCTCCCCCGCACGCCGCTCGCCGGACAGGGGCCAGCGGGCAGGGGTGAGGCGGAGGTGCGCGAAGGTGCCTCGTGGGCCGAGTGGAGTGGCCGCGGCGCGCAGGCGCACTGGGGCCCGCCCGCCGGCCGGGTCCCCGGGGTACAAAGAAGCGCCGCGCAGGGCAGGGGTCCCCGGCGGTCTCCGGAGCCGCCCGGGGCTCCCTCCCGCCCCGCGCCGGTACGCAGCCGCCGTCGCTTCCCGCCTGGGGACGGAGGCTGGCCGGCCTCCCGCGACTCCTCCGTCCCTGCGGCGGCTGCAGTCCGTTTCGGGGTTTAATTCTGGCGCTTGCTCGCCGGCGCCGGCTCCGCCCTCCGCGCCCCGCCCCCTCCTCCGAGGTCCCGGAGCCGCGGCCGGCCGGGCGCCGCAGGTTGGGGAGCGCGCCTGGAGGTGAGTGAGCCGGCGCTGCGCGGGGCCCGGTGCCGGGCCGGGTGGGCGAGGGGGGT